AATTCCTGTTTTACTTGGTATTTTTGAGCTATAAAATCACCTGTAATTGAACAAATGTAACGTAGAGCTGTTTAATGTCACACTGTGGAACATTCCGGGCAGAACAACGACATCTTCATAGAAACAAGCAACCAAAAAGTTACACAATGCACCATTTAAGCTCGCAAGAGACAATTTTACATAACACAAAAATATACGTAGAGCAGGTTTAGTGCCATATACTGTAAAATATTTTAGACCTAAGCAGCAGGTGGTGGACTCCTCACTTGAAAAATTACATAGTACATCTTTAATTTCTACAGTATATTAAGAAAACAAACATAATGCGGACCAGTTTCGTCGCTTTTTAACACACAATCCGAACAAACTGCTGGTATATCCTTGCCTGCGCGACAGCTTGGACTGTAACGGTTTCTCCTTCACAAAAGAGCTGCTGCATTCGTCAACCCTGTGAATAAACATGGGCGGAAACTGTGAGGAAGACCCACGGCTATGTAAATGAGCCTGATGTGATATCCCTGATTAAAGCCGGCGTTACCGTGGCGATCCCCAAAGACAAACTGCCCCTGCGCTTCGTAATGTTGTCGCTCCCTGTGGCGAAATCAGCTTTTTCTGACGCCATTAACACCAGTGGAAATGCCCCGCTGTTAACAATCAATAAAGAAATGAAGTAACTAGGGGGGGAAAAAAACAGATGTGGGATGTGTTTGGACTTTGACTAATGGTGGTGTAGATTGTAATTGTGTTCCTAAGATGTATGTCTGGAGGTTAGATTGTCTGTAATTGAAGAAAATTGTCCGATATTTGTTACACGGACATAATAAACACCAAAGGGGCTACGCAAAGGGCATTTCTGTTCAATAATATTCTGTGTTTTTACAAAATTGCACAGAACCTACTCTGTTTAAAAGATGTATTGTGTCACTTTTTATAGCGGGGGGTCTGGGGCTTGCTTGTCTCCATGGAGATGTTGTTACTTTGCCTGGAATGTTCCACAGTGTGACATTGTCATTCCAGTATAAAAAAACAGAAACGAAACAATGTACTCACAGGTCTGCAAAAAAAAAAAACATCTAGGCAAGTTAAGACGACTTAAATTAAGAAAGTTTGATCAAGATTTGAGTCAATTTCACTTGACAAGTAAAATGATCTGTCAGTGGAATAAGACTTTTTTACTTGCTACACTTATAATAAGAAAAACAATGACTTTTTCATCTTAAAATAAGAAACTAAATTGAATGTTGCTTGAATTAAGAAAAGATAATTTTACTCAAATAAATGTTCTTAATTTAAGTCATTTTAACTTATCTAGATATTGTTTTTTTTTCCAGTGTACTGCTTTATTTCCTTTATGTGTGTTCAAAAATACCATAATAAACTTGCATTCTGACTATGTGTGGGCTCGCCTCTCCACAGATCTAACCTTTAACTCGGCCTCGTGATGCCTACTGCGTATCTCCATGGGGATAGAGTTCTTTAATGCCACACTATGGAACATTCAAGACAAGGAGTGTGCAAAAATGTTGAAATATCGATATATCGTATCGTTTAATGTGATGATACAGTATCGATATCGTGGGCTGCTGTATTGATTTATATTATTATTTATTATATTTTTTGTGTATTTTACTGAATTAACTCGTTTGACATTTTCACTGTTTTGGTGATTAAAATTAGCCTGATTCATCAGCCAGTTTCACTTTGTGGAAACCATCTGACCTCACAGCATTAGGATTCGTTCATTCGACAGTAGGCAGGTGCTTTTTTTATTTAACCAGTCGCTGCTGTTTGGTCATGATGTATGTAATGCGCCGCTAAAGGGGCTAACTGGTATATTAAGTTTTTCCCAAATCCCGTGGGAAGAAGGACAATAACGTCTTTCCCCTTGATAAAATTCACCAAACATTCTCTTTGTTCCGGCTTTAAATCCTTGATCTCAGGAATCGTTGCCAACTATCACGCAGGTAAACTGGACTCAAATGCAACTCAAGTACACAGGCAAACAAAGTCTTAGTTTAATAACAGAAAGTGTCCTATAACAGGTAATGTTTAATATGACAAATCAGACTGGGGAAAACATGTAAACAAAGGGCAGAACTGTGACACCAACACAGAATATATGGCTCTTCGCTGATTGGCTGATGCCCGAACTTGCACTTCCAGGGTTTTTGAGAACCATCTAGTGTATTCTGATTTCTGACCTAGTCGCTGGAGAGAAATTAAATTAAGCAGAGGCACTAGGTAGCGCCAGCCTGGCTAGATTAAAATGTTTGTGTTTCATATGAATTTTGCACAAGAAGTGGTTTAACAAAGACTTTTAGTATCACAGCCATGATTTAGCCATTATTTTTTACTGAGCCATATTGAATTGATTTAAAATATATCGTACTGAATCGAAGTGCACTGTATTGAGATATGTATCATATCGTGGCCTATGTATCGAGGTATGTATCGTATCGGCAACTTCTTAATGATACCAGCGCTATTCAAGACAAAGCAAAAACCCAAGTGGCAGACCCATCACCATAAAAGTTATGTTGTGCATCTAAAGTTAGAAATGTTTTAAATAATTTTATTTATGCATAAAATATTGTTATTTCAATAAACGAAACCATGTAAACTGTTCTTTCTGTAAATAAGCAACAAAACTAATCTAAATATAGACAGCTTTTCTGAAATAAACAAACAATATTATGACCAAGGCAAATTTATTCATACACAAGGTAATTCAAACTGCTTTACAGAATAAGAAATACATTAAAATCACAATACAAACAAACCAAAACATAAATAATAATCATAAAATAAAAGAAAAAAGAGTGAGGGACATTAAACGAGAGAGAAGAGTGCAGAATTAAATAGATTTTTGTTTGAAAGAAATATTAATGTAAGAGTTTAAGTAGACAGTTTTTCACGTAACGTCCCCATTTGCTGGTGATCGTCCAACTTTTACGTTGCATAACTCTGTGTGTCCATAGCTTTTAATGACTAAACTGCTAAATGTAATGGTAAATAACTGCTGTTTCGCACCTTAAAAAGCAGCTCTCACACTGAATCCAAATGTCCAGGTGTTGATCCAAAAACTGAAGTGACATAATTACAGTGTTCTGCCAAATGTGCCTCAGGGTGGGAGCTTTTTCAGAGCCCAATGTGGAAAATATAAAATAAAAATCCCTCTCTAATGTATTCTGCAGCTGAGAGGAGTCCCCGGCTTCACACGGTGTGGGTTTGAGCATTTGGAACGGTTAACTATGATATAATGCTGCTTCCTCTTCAAAAATCTCACCTGGAATTCATTTGTGTTTGGTTAATCCTCTATATTCAGTTTGTCTTCATTTCAGCAGTTCAAAACACTTTGTTCCACCTGTTGATGTCATGACGTGGTGCCAGTCTTCTCCAGAGCTGGAAGAGCCAAAACCCCGTCTATATTACACCATCTTCATGATATATGACAAATAAAAATAGATGACGAAACGTTTATTTGGTTAAATCAATGTTTAATTTGTCATAAAAATGTGTTTCTTGTGCGTAAATTGTCTCTGTATTTTGGATGGAGTTTTTGGTGTTGATGCCAGAGGTCAGAGTCCTGGCGGGTTTTAACGTTCTGGAATTTTACGGGTGCGCAGTAATTACACACTTGCGGGTCAGGACTAAACCAGGACTGAATCAGGGCTACACCAGGAATAATCTTGGACTTTTGAGAGAGAGAGAGAACACCGAGCCTGTGGAGCTGAGTGTCTGCAAAGTGCGATCGGGCGACGGCTGCGCTTACCTCCGTGGAGCGTGGAGCTCTACGCTGGTTCTTTCGCCCGTGGTCACCCAAAGGTCTATGTGGGCACACCTCCGAGAGTTCAAGCCCGTCCAGACAGTGAGTCCTGGTTTAGTCCTGGTTCAGTCCTGGTTTAGTCCTGCTTCAGTCCTGGTTTAGTCCTGGTTTAGTCCTGGTTCAGTCTGTGGCGTGTGCGGCGCAGAAGTCCGGCGTCTCGATCAGTGTTTCTTCTGCTCAGTAAGTAAAGCCTGTGAAGTGATGTCAGTCGAGTCGCGTCTGTGAATTTGTGTTCATAATGAAGAAAGCATAACCGTTTCGTTTCATTTCGTTTCGTGATTGTAATTCTTGAAGTTGTAACTTTTCAATTCATATTCTGATGGATGCTTCAGTTAGAATGCTTTTAATCTGTGTGTGGTTTATCACAGGCAGAGGCGAGTAACAGGTGGAATATTAATGGGTCCGGACGAGTGTGGGTTTAACGTTGATATAATCACGGGTTAATGGGCAGATGTGGTGTTGTACTGCGCGGGTGTGGGTGAGTGCAGGTCTCTAAAAATGGACCTGTGCAGGACTCTGCCATAGGTAGAGGTATTCTGTTGTAACTCTTCATGCTTCCTGTTTTGTTTCTTTTCTTTTTTTTGGACTTCACTGCCACAACATGACATCACAAGTTGGAACAGAGCATTTTGAGCTTTGGAAATGTAGACAGACTCATAAGAAAGTGTTACTCAAACATGTGAGAATGAAACAAAACATAACTCCAGGTCTGTTTTTGATGAGGAAACAACATTATAAAGGTGCATTGTGTAACTTTTCTAATGGAGGGTTCGTCACCTGCTTGTTTCCATGGATATGTCATCGTTCTGCCTGGAATATTCCAAAGTATGACATTAAACAGCTCTGCCTTACATTTATTCAATTATAGCTCAAGGATACCTACAAAAAACAGGCATTCTGACTGTGAGCAGTGTCGCCTCTCCACAGATCTGACCTGTAACTCGGTCTGGTTTGATCTCCATGAAGATAGAAAGGTTTAATGCCATACTGTGAAACATTCCAGACAAAGCAATAATACCTCGATGGATAAGCATTTGATGGAGCTTTCACTAGAAAAGTTACAGAATGCACCTTTAAAGCTACAAGAGTCAGTTTAGTTTAATATTGCATCTTTAAACTCTAAGGAAATTGTTGCGATGTCGCGTAAACCGTCCCTGTCCCCCTCTGTCCACAGGAGGGCCCGGAGGTTACTGACCCGCTCCCAGCTGAGACGCGCCTGTCGACAGCCCTGCGAGCAGATCACCCTCCGCAGGGTCTCCCAGGGCGCTCCGCAGGGGCTGGTGCTGGCCCCGCCCCACCCACACCCCAGTCTGAGGATGAGGGGGCCCATCGTCATCCACGACTGAGTCCAGGGTCCAGGACCACCCGCAAAATCAAATATGAACAAACTGCAACTGACAAAATCAGCGTAAACAAACTAACCAACAAGGACTGTCCGAGAAAGTCAAAAACGTCAACAACAAAAACATGATCTCACTCAGACAAGCAAAACATCATCACTATTTACAGGATCTGCTGCTGACAGTGGTTTGGCAAAACTCTGACTAAAGAAGCACCACGGTTCAGGTGAGTCCCACACCTGCTTGTCTCCGTGGAGCTGTTACTGCTCTGGAAAAGAAAACTTGAAACTGAATAAATGCAGCTTAAATCACTTGTATTTATCTTGCATTTATTCAATTTTAAGTGTTCTGTATGGTGGCACTTTTACATTTCACAACTGTGGGGAAGCTGAGTGGTCAAAGTATCAGGCAGATGCAACAACAAAAAAAATCTTTCACCAGACAAAATTATTTTAAAACAGACTTCTGGAGTTCACCTACAAAAGTACAAATAAACAGAAAATTAGTAACTCAAATCATAAACCATTAAACAACCTGAACAGAAGTCTCTCCCCTAATACACGCATCAAGAATCTCGGACTTGTGGCCATCATGCAATACATACTGGGAAGGATTTTCCAAAAAAGTGAGCATCAAACTGCCATGTTTGATTTCCCAGTGGGATGCGTCTATTGACAAAGTTGATCTTTTCAAGTCTTTTGAACCATATCGCTTTTGTTTCTGGTTCTGATATTGTTATATTTTAGTTTTGGGATTCGGACATCGTTAATTGTGTGGTTATTGGATGACCTAACAGCGGAAAACGGCTCGAGAAATTTGTTTGCGAACTCTATAAATGCAAAAGGGAATCAGATGTGTGTGACTGCAAACCTCAGTTCAAACTGTTTCTCTTCCCAACGGAATTGAAAAATAGTGAAATGCGAAGGCGATGGGCACGATTGATCCAAAGAAAAGACGAAAAAGAAAACTTTGGCTGCTTAAATCATCCCGAGTTTGCAGCGAACATTTTGTATGTGGAACGTCATGCAGTTATGGAGTTCGCAAACACATTTCTCGAGCCGATTTTCCACTGTTAGGATCCAACAACCACACAATTAACGATGTCCGAATCCCAAAACTAAAATATGACAATATCAGAACCAGAAACAAAAGCGATATGGTTCAAAAGAATTGAAAAGATCGACTTTGTCAATAGACGCATCCCACTGGGAAATCAAACATGGTGGTTTGATGCTCACTTTTTCGGAAAATCCTTCCCAGTATGCATTGCGCAATGACCAGAAGTCCGAGATTCTTGATGCGTGTATTGATGAGACCTGCTTGCCTTTATACTCCGCCCAGCAGGAAGTTCCTCCCCCCAGGTGAGTATTGGTTCCAGGTCACTTTTCAAAGTAAAGATATCTCCTTTCAAAATCAAAATGTTTAAACTAAGGAAAATTTAAAATGAGGCAAACACTCACTTTGTCACAACAACACACGTTAACAAGTTTGAAAACAAAATTACATTTAAAATACAAATTTACATCTTGAAAACTAATTCCAAGTTTCATAAAACACATTTGCAAATGAGCAAACAAATTTACAAATCACCAAACATTTGTACTAACGTGAGACAAATTTACATGTGGCAAAAACAGAAATACAAACCCCCAAAACAAATTAACATGAAAGTTCAGGACGAAAAGGGAATGCCCTAAAAAGCGGAAACAATGAGCGACCATAGCGTTAGTTTTGATCAGAAATATTTCACTAATGCGTCGTTGTTGTTTGCATTTTAATTTTTCATCTTTCTTACCTTGATAGTTGTGAATAAATTCTTCAGGGACAGAACATTTATCCTTTGTCAATCTTGTTGGATGAAGATTTGGTGATAGTGCAGATTTATGAAGCTGGTGAAAAATACGCAAGACATTTCCACAGATATTTTGCCACAGAAAACCATTACCCGGGAGTTACGTTTACTCTACATCGCGACACTTCTGGACCGTTGTGTTTTAGAGGTTTGTGTTTGTGTTTTTGCCACATGTAAATTTGTCTCGGCGCTTATACACATGTTTTGCATTTTGTAAATTAGTTTGCTCATTTGCAAATGTGTTTCATGAAACGTAAATTTGTTTTCAAAATGTAAATGTGTATTTTAAATGTAATTTTGTTTTCAGACTTGTTAATGAGTGTTGTGAAATGTAAAAGTGCCTCTTGAAAAACATGCATCCTGACTATAGCCTGGGTTGTTACGCGGTAAAGTGATCAGGCAGATAATACGTCAGAAATAGTGTGTAAACTTTGCATAAATAAATTAATAAAAGCACCAAGAGACCAATTTTCGCCTTCACAACACTCCTGTCACACTGTGAGTTTGTGAGCGCTCGTGGGACACAGTTTTGCCGCACCCCTGTTTATAGTAACATCCACGAAAGTTGAGGTACAGTATGGAACTTTGCTGGTTAAAGTTCTGCCTCCTGCTCGTCTCCATGGAGATGTTTGTGCTTTGTCTGGAATGTTCCACAGTATGGTATTAATCTTATCGACTTGAGGGCCTACACCTTAGGCTACGTTCAGACTGCAGCCTGAAGTGACCCAAATCAATCTTTTGGCTTCTATGCTCCTGTATCTGATCTTTTAATGACAGTCTGAACGACACAGATCCGATTTTTTCAAATGCGACCCAGGACACTTGGATATGTGCTCCTGAAACCGATACATATCTGATCTTTTGACATGCGACTTCAGTGTGCACGGCCAAAGCGCATTCATCCGACCTACACGTTATCAACAAGCCACAAACGTCACTATTCTGTGCTGAAGTAAAATTGTTAATGATGAACTCCGTGTCACTGAAGTGAAGCACATCACCACTCACCACTCTTGGCTACGTCTCCACATCCACATGTTCCTTTCAACGGACGTCGCTGCCGCTGCCCCACAAAACACCACAGCCAAAAACCTCGTCCTTCTCCTTCTCAATCTCCTCCTTAAAACAAGTAAGTTGTTCATGTTCTGGCTCCGGTACGAGAGGAACTTTAAAATCTCCAGGTGCTCAATGCTCACGTCCATGTTTGGACAACTTCTGTAAACACAGAGACGCTCGCTGCGGTTGACGTCATTGTGTCTCCATTGCACATGTGGGACAGTTTCGAGCTGTTTACTGTTCAAACTGGAGTCACATACAAGTCACATTTAATTGGAAATGTGAACGACCTCGCAAAAACATCGGATTTCACAAAAAAATCTGAATTGAGCGTTAAGCCCTGCAGTCTGAACGTAGCCTTAGATCTGCGAAGTGTGTGTTTCAAGGTATTTTTTAGCAATAAAATCATACGTAACTATAAAGACAAATTATGCAGTAACATTCCAGGCAAAGCAATAACGTTTCCATGGAGACAAGACGGTAAAACAGGACTCCCTTCAGAAAAGTTCCACAATGCCTCTTTAAAACACACACACGTTCAATTCTAAACCATTGAAAATTTTAAAAAGTTACATCTCAAGTTAAAAACTATAGTCTAAGAAGGCAGTTTACAAACTATATGACTTCTCATTAAACTGAATAAGTTCTTTTGTACTCCATATTCGAGGCATTGATTGTTTTAATTTGTCAAAGAAGAAGAAGAAGAAGAAGATGTCCAATAATGACGCTAAAAATAAAATGCACTTGCAGCCTATGACAAAAACATGCCAGCGATTTCTTTTTTAATGATAATATGAAACAAAGCTGATCTCATATGTTAATAAAGCTACATTCTGTAATATACGGTTGTCATGACATTGTAAATTGTTCTCATTCTCTTTCTATGGCGGATTGTACATGGCCCTAAAATGTATTTTCTATAGACGGTAGAATCAATGGACTAAACAGCTCCCAAATTATTAACAACACAATGAAATGTAATAAATAATAATACATAAAAAATAAATAATAATTTCAATTCTCAAAAAAAAAGAAAAAATCCAAGAGTGGTCATCATGTCTAGAAAGTTGCAAGTTCCACTGTCATTGTGTCCTTGGGCAAGACACAAACCCACCTCACATAAGCAGGAATTTGTTCAACTTTCTTAAAAAAAGAGTTTGATCAATTATCAATAAAGGCAGGAGTCAGTAATCTGTGTATCATTCGAACATTTGTTTTTCAAAATAAAATCAAAAATTAGAAAATGAAAAAACTAAATTTTTCTTCATTATTTGTCTCCAAAACCAAAATGAAACAAATAACGATTTTCTTTGTCAGTTTTTGATGTTGTTTTTAAATGAATAATGGAAAAAACGGATTATGGCCATTTCATGTTCTCGTGACTTAAACTGCAATGCTGGACTTTTGCGCCGCATACGGACTAAAACAGGACTAAAACAGGACTGAACCAGGACCAAAACAGGACTGATCACAGGACTAAACCAGAACTAAACCAGGACTGAACAGGAGTGTTGGGACGGCCCAGAAGTGCACCCACATAGACTGTTGGGTGATCAGGAGTGAGACCAGGATTGAGACAGAAACTGAGACCAGGACTGAGACTGTTTCAGTCCTGGTTTAGACCTGGTTTAGACCCGGTTTAGACCTGTTACAGTCCTGATTTATTCCTGTTTTATTCCTGTTTTAGTCCTGGTTTAGTCCTGTTTTAGTCCTGGTTTATTCCTGGTTTAGTCCTGGTTTAGTCCTGGTTTAGTCCTGTTTTAGTCCTGGTTTATTCCTGGTTTAGTCCTGTTTTAGTCCTGGTTTAGTCCTGTTTTAGTCCTGGTTTATTCCTGGTTTAGTTCTGGTTTACACCTTGTTTACACCTGGGTTAGACTTGGTTTAGTCCATATGCAGCGCAAAAGTCCGATAAGTCACGGAAATGGGAAACGGCCGTTATCTGTTTTTTTCCATTATTCATTTAAACACAAAATTGAAAACTGAAAAATCATTTTCCGTTTTTTCATTTTGGTTTTGGAGACAAATAATTAAGAAAATATTTGTTTTTTCCATTGTCTTATTTTTGGTTTTATTTTGAAAAACAAATGAACGAATGATACATGGATTGTCAGTAAATTCAACCTTCCAGTCTTTATTCTTTGGTCCATTGGTTCTACTGTCTGTACAACTAACGCACTTATCTCCAGCAAAAAACTGGAAAAATAAGTCATGATGTTACTCAAAGCTTGTGTTTAAAACTGCACTATTTTGAGGCTGAAACCGAAGCTAACGAATGCATTTCCTCCCCTGTACGGATCACTACCTGGTTTAATAATAAAGCTTCATTTCAGATGTTCTTTGGGTGGAAAAATGTGGCCTCAAAAAGTTGCGGTTTTAAGATCCAGAGATTTCAGAAAAGCAGAATTCTTCTCTTTCATTCAATGATTCTGTTCGTGTTACTGTATGTCTTGTGTTGAGTTATGACTATGCTGAAAATCAAAATAAAATAAAAACTTCAATAACTTAAGTGTCATTTTACTTGCTTTATGCGTTTGGGTTTCCTGCTTCCATTAAATACAAAAGTTTGAGGACGTTTCACCATTAAAAAGATAGAATATAATTGTTTTTTTTTAATTGTTAATTATATGGCAACAGTC